GTTTGTTTTCTTTTTGTGCTTTGTTTTTTTGTGTTGTTTTGATAGTTTGTTTGCTCCCTAAAAAAGGGAAAAATGAAATTAAAAATAGAGAGCATGAGAGGCGCTCATTTGTTGCAAGGGCAATTTGGCCTTTTGATCATACAATTTGGTTGGAAAATAGGATTTTCCCCATTTCACTTGGGTGTGTACCTTGCACACCATGTCAGGTTGGACAGAAAATTTAATGGTTGCACCTTGGTCCAAACCCACATGAGGGTTTTGTGGTTTGAATTATAAGGGGGTAAAGTGTTAAAGGGGTAAACCATATTAGGGTGAAATAGACTTTTCAAAAAATGAATCAAAAGAATAAAAATAATGGTTTTAACGGGGCCGATACCCTTTTTAAAAATTATAGGGCATAAAATACCACTTTTAAAAATATAGGTCAAAAAGTACACAACCCTTAACAAATCTCTCTAAAATACCCCCTTCACTAAAATGGGAACCGATTCCTATATTTTTGCCTCCACAACCGAAACTTAAGGAATCTCAAGTTCTCAACTATTACACATAGATCCTTTAAATATCGCCGGAAACCCCATTCTTCCAAATATTCCATAAAAACCTCCTTCTGGATTTTCAAAACATGTTGTTAATCGTTGCTGAAGAAGTGAAAATCACAGCGAATAAGGGGAAATATTGGTATCAGACAGTGACGACCATACTGAAATTCATCACAGAAGAAGAAGATCGTCAAAATTTTTGAAAAAGAAATTGATAACTCAACAAAAATGTTGTTTCTCCCATCGTTTTTATTTATTTACATTTTTTTCCCTCAATTACCCTTCTATTTCTGGTGCTTGGTACTACATGCACACCAAGTGTTCGATCATTTGCCCCAAAAAAAAAAACCAAAGAGGCCATATACATTGTGTCATGCGTCATGTCAATGTATGCAGGGTGACATTGACTTGCAGTAATGTGACATTTTCTAGTACCAGTGTGACATTGTCTTGTAGCACTATGACATTATCGTGCAAGGCAGAAAATCATCCTCCAAATCAGAATCATCATCTTGATTATTATGATCATCCCCATTTGATTCATCATCATTGACATTTATCCTCACATGAACATGATTGACGTTAATAAACCGTAACGATTTTTTTTTTTTGTAAAAAAAAAATATATGAACGACATACCTGATGCAATTATTCCATTACAACTAACTGGAATATGTTTGAAAACCCGGTTACAGAATGGAGTGAATGACCGAGGAAGAGGTTTGAATGATAGAGGAATAGGTATGAATAAACAGTTGGTCAATCACACATGACTAGGTAATTTAAAATTCAAAAAAAATATAGCATAAAATTAGGAAACTGGATCTCTAATACAACTGCGATATTTGTCTCCAATTAATAAAAGAAAAAGACAATTAAGTAAAAGAAAAAATTATAATTCAGAAAAAGTGTACCTCTTCACCAAACATTTATACATAAATATACTTATACACATATTTTATATTGAGATACTTTTACACAAATAAGTATGAAAGGATATACTTTACACAAATAAGTATGAAGGGGTAAACTTTTTCACAATTTTTCCTAAAAATAAAACCAAAAAACTCCTACGAAATGGAAAATAAAACTTGCAAGAAATAATCACCATTTATACCAAAATTAAGAGTAAAAAGTCATGTTAAAATAAGGATACACTCGAGATCCATTTTCACCCAAAATAATTGTAAAATGTTCACATTAAAATAAGAATTTTTTGGGGATCATTTGAGACACTCTCATACCATTCCATGATATCAAGTCATTTACATAGATAAAATGCCACACTATTCACTTGAGTAATTGAATGACATTTGATCCTGAATGCTACAGGTACATAGAATAGAAATTCTGCAAAGCAAGTAAAAATGCAAAAGCTAAAATTCTTTTAAAATTTGTTCCTTTGCACCATTATAATGAGGAAAATAATATAATTTAAGACTAAATAAATGTTAAAAAATCCAAATGTGCGCATATTGTACTTACAGAAATGCTCAACTACTGCATGTTATGGTAGGTTAGCATTGTGACCTGAATTTTAAGACAAAAATGCCACCAATTCCTTTTTTTTTTTTTTGTGTAAAATTTTGTGTAAATAATGCCAAAATTTAGGTCTGTACCCAATCTATCCTTCCCAGATCCCCAATTATGGGGAATAAACTAATTATTTTTTTAAGAGGATAGCATGGTAATTTGAGGTCCCTTTTGCCATTACCTTAACTAGGGGTGCAACTTGGGCGGGTCAACCCGAATTCATCCCGAGCCCAACCCGAAAAAAATTGGATTTGGATTAGAATTTTTAATACTTGGGTTAGGTCTGGGCAAAAAAATCTCAATCCGAATTCAATTCGGGTTGAGGCATCGGGTTGTCAGGTTCAACCCGAATATTAAAATCGGGTTGAACCCGAATATACATAAATATATTTAACTAGCGTTAGTATTAATCTTCACTCTTTAGAGTCCATACTTTCATTTCACTTCAAGTTTTTACCCCTGCAACTCCATCACTCTCAGATCCCTCTCTCACTCATCATTCCTCCCTCTCTCTCAGCCTCCCTCTCTCACTTGTCACTCCTCCCACTCTCTTCATCTGCGTCTTGTCATTTATCTCAGATCACTTCAAAAAATTAGATCTACACTTCAAAAAATTAAATCTACACTTCAAAAAATCAACCCGAATTAAGTAACTCAAGTCCAACCCGATTTTTAACCCGAATTAAGTAACCTAAATTCAATCCGAGCCCGCCCAAATTAAACTTGGGCAGTACTCAGGTTGAGTACCTCGCGTTGAAGTAGGGTTAGAGTTAGAGTTAGAGTTAGGGTTGAAGATTTTATTCCTAGGGTTGGGTTGGGTTGGGTTAGGGTTGACCTCTCAACCCGCCCGAGTTGCACCCCTAACCTTAACGATGTAAAAGCACTCTTGCTCCCAATTTCCAATGAGAAAGGTCACCGCCACTGCTATTCATGAAAATCATATTTTTTATCATGGCCTTTTGCCTCCCTCCCTCCCTCTCCCAAAATGATATCAAAGACCCACCTCACCATACTTCACATTACCCTGCCCTAGCAGCAACCGGTAGTTACCAAAACTACCTGCATATCAATATGCCTCCTCCCCATTCTCCCTCTAAAACCAACCCAATTCTGTCTGTTTCAATCTGTAAAGTAACTCAAATTCATCTCTTTTTTTCTATTTTGGGCCTTAGATTCACAACTGTTTAAACCCCCTATATCATCTCCTGAAAAAAAAAAAAATTTGTGGTCACAGTAGGTACAGCTAGTGTCTTGTCTAAGAGAGATTGGTGAATACAATACATGACTTCAAGGGGTTTTGGACCTGAGATGCCAGTTAAGGACGCAGATCGTGGAAAATTGAAGTGACCATACAGCCCTCGTAAATTTTAGGCATTTTTGTATTTAAAATCAGGCACCGGCACAATGTAGTATGTGCCTAACTTAATATAGGCACATTGTAGGTAGCATTTTCTTCCTATATTGAATCATAGGTATGACGCATGTATTGCTAGATGCATTCATCATTGGATATGTTTCACCGAATTGTAGGGATCTACCTCAATAATGTATGGAACTATTTGTTGACAACATTTACTATGTAATTGTGACGTCATAGGATTGTTGAACAACTTAAGCAATTCCAAAATAATAGAATTATGAATACAACATTTTTGTCTAATGCATTTCCAGAAAATGAAAACAATTGGACCAAATGGCCTAGGTTGGTTGGGTGCTGGTTGATGCCTTAGTACAATTGGTCAAAAGTTGCAAAAGTAAGAGACTAACCTGTTTAAAAAATTACGTACGGCTAATTGGTTTACAGTATATCATGCAAGCGCTAATCGGACTCATCTCACAAAGACCATAGGTCATAGCTCAGTGCAAGGAATTAATGAGATTCGATATAAATACAGATATAAGTACAATGTTGGGCTGCAGAGATTTCAAAAGGAAAATGGAAGGAAAAAACTCATGTTTGACAAATGAAACCTGTTACAATAAGGGATACTGCTAAGATGATCACCCAACTGGGAAATCAAAAGAGCTCTTCGATAACAATAATAACAGAGACAATACAGATATTTTTTCAATACACTGCAGCACTTTATGTCAATCAAAAAGGGAATTGCAATGCTGCTTACCTATGGCAGGAGTATATAATGGAGATTGCAACAAGACTTCTGGTGCTCGATACCTTATGTAAGAATATGTAAAGCCAAAAATAAGATTTGATAAATTACTAACTGGGAAAAAGTTGAATTTTCTGGAGTACAAAATAAAACAAATGCATGCACAGCCATGGAAGAGAGAACAGCAGATGACCCACCACCGAGTGGAAACATAATCTGTAAATGGAGGCATTGACGACACCTCTCTGGCCAGTCCAAAATCAGCAATTTTGATGACATTATTTGTCACCAGCAAATTCTCTGAAGGCAGAAAGGATATATAGCTTTAGACTAAAATATTGTTCTGTAATTACATAAATATTTGCATTTTAAACAACTAAACTTCATACCAGGTTTCAAGTCTCGATGAAAATATCCACTTCTATGCATGTATGCAAGTCCTTGCAGCACCTGAAACATCAAGGTTCTTATCTCTCCTTCTGAAAAGGGTCTTTCCAGGTCTCTCATTATCTGGTACAAATTGCGTTCCTACAGAAAGGGTCCACAATAAAGATAAGTGAACTGAGAGTTGCCACGGCACTCAAACCATCTACCAACCTTACAACCACCCTACTACCCCATGAAACCCAAATACTAAAAGCTGATACATAATCAAAATCGACATAATCAAAATCGACCACAAAATCCACTGCCTGTGGCATCCCAATCCAGCTTCGTGATTTTCTGTTTCTTTCCCCTTTTTTTCTATATCCTCCTCCAGGCAGCATCATTTTTATAAAATGAACTCTCCTCAGCAGCAATGGCACCACCGCTTAATAGTCATTGCAAATGCTTGGGAAAGCATTTGTATGTTTCATCCTAAACAAACTAAATCCCTGAAGAAGTTTGAAGAAAATTCTCCCACTTCCTGGAACAAAAGGATGCAACAGGTGGATAGCCAATGTAACCTGGTCATATTTCAGTTTGATAAAATAAAACTCCTTAGTAGTAACTAATACCACCACCACTTCATGGTCATGGAAAATGCTTTTGAAAACATTTTGGGACATAAGGATGCAACAGGAAGATATAGTATGCAATCATGACAAACACAGATCTTTGAAGACCTTGGGAGGTTTTTGTACATGCCAATAACTCATATCAGAGAGTCAAAACAAAACTGAGAAAAAAAGTTGAACGTATACCATATAATCGAATATGAAGAATAACTCATTGTTTTCCCAGACGACCTCCTTCAACTTTATGATATTAGGATGAATCAATTTATGGAGGGACTGCACATGTAACAGGAAATTATCAATCGTAATAATAGCATTTACATAAGCACATTCTGAAGTTATCAACATTAACTTGAATGTAAAACGAATACGAGTATTTAACTAGTAGCATGCTACATTTCAATAATATCAAATTCACAAACCTTAACTTCACGTAGACTTGTGCATTCTTCCTGGAAATAGAACTTTCTCTTCATTTTCTTGACTGCAACCTGTAATATAGTAACCATATTACTACTTGTCACAATAAATGATAAATTTACATAAAAAATTCACAATTTGTCAGACATTGAGAAAGTAAATAGTTAAACTAATTGGTTTATCCTGAGCACAGAAATGCCTCCCACACAAATCACGCAGATTATTTCTCATTTTCTCTGACTCCACTCACGAAGAACAAACATGCCTCCAACACACATATTAAGTGTACCGATAATTTAAAAATAAATTCTTAACTCCAGACACATGGCTAAACACTAGTTGAATACTCACCAGCACATAGCCAAAAAAAGATGGACCTCAATATATGACTTTTTTTTTAGCACATAAAAAATGATCATTGTCAAGGAATTGAAATAATGTTTATCTTCAAGCACAAATGAGATTAAATAACAAAATTAAAACACAAGTAGTTTTCACCCACAATTTACAATGAAAAATGGTTTTCTCCCAGATTGGTCAGCATTAACCAGGATGCTAAGTGACACGGATTGGACATAGATCTAACCTTTCGCCTTACTCCCACAAAGTAACTGCCTAAAATCTAGAGATTGTCAGCCTGAGCATTTACCATTGCACTAGGCCATAATCCCTTAAATTTGATGCTGGTGTTCGCCCAAGATTTCCTGAGTTTATTAAGATTTTTTAAACCGAACTTTTACAAAAGCTTTTAAGGTTATGGAGGAAAAAATATGATGGCAGATTCATATCCAGTTGCAGAGCGGAGTAAAGTATAAGCTAATTTGCATAAGTAAAAATTCCTTACAATCTCTGATATTTCCATATTGATGGCCTTATATACAGTCCCACAAGACCCATCTCCAAGCTCTGTCAAAATTTTATATCTGAAAAAACAATGTGGCAGAGAATGCAAATCATAATCCTCCCTACATGTAAAACGTGCTGATATAATGATGACAGGAGCATTGATAAGAAACTCACCTTTCCATTGCAAGTATTGCAGCAAGTGACAAATCAAAATTCACTCAATGAACTTCTAACCTCCAAATAGAGATTTCTACACTGCCATAACAGTGTTTGTCACTAGCTTGTAAACATATATTGGAGGTCAGTTGTGGCATAAGGTATGATATGTTATATGACGCCCATTTCTCATTGTAGGAATGATTAATAATCAACAAAAAATTTATCAACATTCTTGGATGCAGCCTCTACAAGCTGCAATGAGGTGGTATCATCTAAAAGCAGCCACCGTGATCTGCAAAATATCTGATGCAACTTCAGTATAAGAAGAATTTCAAGCTAGTCAAAGAAAATCAATGGATAAGCAATCAGCAGCAAACACTACCAGTAAAAGGAATATACCAAATAAATCCTTGTATGGTATAAAATTCACAAGCATATTAGAGAAGTTAAAAAAAACCACAACAAAGGTTAAACTAAAGAAGTCCTCTGAGGTAATGGAGTTCCTACTACAGCAATCGATGCAAAAATTATACCAGCAAATTTTTCATTGGTTTGCGCACACATAGCATAGGTCAGTTAATTCTCCTTGCTTTATATAGCTCATATATACAAGAAACTTTACTGTTAAGTAGATATGTTCTCTATCAAAAGCCAAAAGCTCCTATGATGTGAGTCACCACTTAGACTTACAGAACTGATAGTATTAGCCAATTAATCTTTTTGCATCATAACTATAATAAAACAAATCACAATGAGTTATCATATGGCATACAGTCATAAAATCGACAAATAATAGATAATATAGATATTATGAAACATGAAAGGTCAATGTATATCAGTATATGTCCCAAAATCCGCCTTTGTTTATGCCTAAATTCCTTTCTTTAAAAACAGATGGGACAGAGAAAAACTATATTGAAGAAGAAATTCAAGAAATCGCCAACTAATAATCTTTTCAAGATTACATAAATAATTAAGCTCAAATGGCCTCTTTTAACTACCCAAAAACTCGTCAAGGTTCAAAACGCAATTACCAAAGGATTGAACCAAAGATGCTTTTAAGGCCACCGCCTTGGTTAAACGAGGGCAAAATTTCGATATCTCATCGATTACCTACTAAACTCGTAAAGGTTCAGACCGCAATTATTAAAGGAATTCACCAGAGGTAATTCTGAACGAGGGCAAAATCTAAATCTTTCATAGATTGCCGAATATTATTCCAGACTCTGGATCAAGCAAGAATCGTACGCCCAATCCAGTAGAAAAAGAAAGCAAACAAAAACCCTAGATGCTTGAAAAAAGATTGTATATACAAACAGATTGATTAAAAGAGGTCGAACTCAGAGTCGATTCAAGAGAGATACTTACTAAACAAGGAGGAGCTAGAGAGAAATGGAGAGTTCTAGAGAGAGAGAGATGGATATTCGGATCAGCAATGTAGGGGGCGGTTGCGTTGAAACTAAGGGTGCGAAAATTGGATTACTTCTGCTGCAATAATATAAGGGCAAAATCCGCAGAAGAAGCGAAGGAGAAGAAACCAATATATATAAAATACTCCTAAATTAAAATTTAATTTAATTGAAAATTCTATTTCTTAATGTAATAATTGTCCTGATTAATTTCTTATTTCTTTACATAAATTACCGTGTTTTAGTCGCAGAGGTTTTAAAGACAATTATATCTCACACTAATAATTTTATTTAAAATTTTTGAGTTTTTATTTTATTTTTAAATAAATATATGAACATTTATGGCTTAAATTATAAAAAGTTGAGTACTCTTAAAAAAAATTACAAATTCAATAATTATCAACATATCTATATCTATATTTATACTACTAATAAAAGGAAGTTAAGTAAAAAAATTTTGATTGTCTATTATGTTCCTATAAAAAATATTAAAAACACATATATTCTTATTTATTTAATTACATAATATTAATTATATATACAGATGACTCTTCATATACTTTTATTTCTACAATAATTATTGTTCCGTGTATTGTACTTTTTTTAATTTTTTAATTACCTAATATTAATTATATATTTAAATGACTCTTCATGTACTTCTATTTTCACAATAATTGTTTTTCTATGTATTATATTTTTTTTTTATTTACTGAGTTAATGATGCTATATCTCTTTCATTTACTTCTCATAAACTTTTTTATTTATAATATATATTCAATCCCATTAATTTCAATCATAAAGTAACAGAAATACTATTCTATTATTCTCTCATTCTCTCATACTCGCATTTTTTTCTAGTTACTGGTTATTATTCTTTTCATATGATTTATGTTTTGCTTGGAGTTAGGCTGCACTAACATCTTAAAATTTTTCTTCTTGATTTGTTAAGTGTTTTTTATTTTTGAACAAACATGATCAATTGTGAAAGGTCACTGTGAAAATGGCATCTTGAGATTTTATTTACTCTAAAATCATATACATTCTATGTTTTTAATTTCCATGGTAATATGTTAATTTTTTGTTTAGCACTAAAACTCATTTTGCGTATTTAGCATTATATCTCGTGTATAGAAAAAATTACGTGATTCTTCTCATGCATTGAATAATTGAATTTAGATTTTTTCATCATGTGGATCATGATTCAACTAAGTTTTTTGAATTGCTCTAGGACATAAGATACCAAATACTAATTCTTTACAATATACATTTCACCATTTGAATGTAGAAAAATAAATTTTAGTATATTCATTATAAATTTTTGTGGGTAATTCTTTTTCTAGGATGTTCACGAAGCATATATGACATTTCTTTTGAAGTGTAATTTAATATTTGTCTTTCAGTAAATAATGAAACAATTAGTATTCACCCATTATTTGGTTTTATCGTTGAAAATATGATAGTGAATTTTGAGGTAGACTGTCCCAAGCTTATCATAATATAAACATCCATTTGTTTGTTATCCTTTTAGAAATGACAGATATTAAATTTAGAGTAAACTATTGAAATTTTAATTTTACATGTTAATATGTGGCTGAATTTGTCCATCACTTAAGTTTCACTAGATGCTACAAAATTTGATATTAAAAATGATTTACATGCAATGCACTTGTATACAAAAAAAAAATATAAATATAAATTTACATATCTATATCTATATTTATCTATCTATACTGCTAATAAAATTACGTTAGAATAAAAAAATTTTGATTTATTATTTTATCTTTATAAAAAAATTTAAATACCACATTATTCTTCCATAATTAAATAGTTAAAAATTGTTAACATTAAGTGAGGTTCAAGTCCGGAAGACACCTACACCTATTGCACAGTATAATAGTTGCCCATATTTTCTATATTAAAATATATGCAAAATATTTGAGATACTTTGAAGTTTCAAAAACTTGTAGGGGATTGTAAGAATAAGTTAAGTTTTTAAAACTTTTCATCCACTTTAATTTTTAGTAATTACAGATTTTGTTTCAAATGTTACACAACTTTAGTGGCAATACAAATGACCAATTTAATACATAACGGTAATATTTTTACATGCCTTATAAGTTGACTAATAAATTCCATTTAGACCTAGAATTTACTAATGAGTTATTTTTGTGCCTATATAAATCATTTGGTGGAATTATTCTAAAAAACATATATACTGAAATTCATTCTTGAGTTTTCTAAGTTTTTCCTATAAAACTTTCCTAGCTTTGTCAGCCTATATTTCCAAGCTTTGTTGAGTTTCCTAATTGCAGCTTTTGTCAAATCCATTTCAACTAGAAACATATCATATTTTCTTGTGTTTTGGGCAACTCGATTAGTGTCAAGTTCACTCTTTTCTTTCAGTGGAGTGATCATTGAGAAGGTACTGTTGCGAGCGTCTGGGTTAGATTTTCAAGTCGTTGGTATCAGTCAGTACCCTCACGTGGGGAGGTTTAGCTGTTTTAGGATAGTGATCACATACTTTTCGGACTCGCATGCCAGCTCATTCCCAATTAATTTATTTAGTTTATATAGATTGCATGTTTATATATTTTATGTATTTATTTATTTAAATTGCACGTTATATGATCTAACTATTGTTTGCATGCTTTATTTCGAATATTAGATTACAACACTCATGATTATATTGCTCACATCATAATTCTAATATTTGTTGAGTTGTTCCAATTATAAATCTATTCTTAAAACTATAATTATGAGTGTTATAATCTAAATTTCGAAATAAAACATGCAAACAATAGTTATATCATATAATATGTAATTTATTTAAATAAATACAAAAAATGTATAAACATGCGATCTATATAAACTAAATAAATTAATTTGGAATGAGCTGGCCTGCGAGTCCGAGAGGCGTGAGATCACTGTCCTAAAGCAGCTGAACCTCCCCACGTGAGGGTACTGACGGACACCAGTGACTTTAAAATTCAACCCAGATGCTTGCAGCAACACCTTCTCAATGAGCACGTCCACTGGAAGGTTAAAGTGAATCTGACTTGAATCGAGTTGCCCAAAAAATAAAGTAATAGAAGATAATCAAAAAAAAGGTAGGCCAAAATGTAAAAGAATTAATATGAGCAAAAGTCTACTGAAATGAGGACTCTAGTGGTTTTATTTTTTTTCACTTGAAAACAATTTCTCAAAGACTTTATATAGCCACTGTGCATCTAACGTACACACAATGACTATTCAAATTTTCTTTTCCAACCGTTTGGAACATGATTACTATTCAATGGGTTGCAATGGTTTTGCCAGTTCAATGGATTTGAATGTTTAGCATTGAATACCCTTAAAACCAATTTTAAGATCAATAATAATTATTCTTGAATATTCACACTAAATAGGACCAAAAAATTTACAATTGAAATTCACATAATTAAAATGAAAATTTAATAAAAATTTTAAAAACTTAATTTTATTCTTACAATCCCCTACAAGTTTTTGAAACTTCAAAATATTTCAAATATTTATATATACTGTAATATAGAAAATATGGACAACTATTATACTGTGCAATAAGTGTAGGTGTCTTCTGAACTTGAACTTCAGCTCTTTTCATATGGATTATGTTTTGCTTGGAGCTAGGGTGCACTAACATCTTAAAATTTTTCTTCTTCATTTGTTAAGTGTTTTTTATTTTTGAACATACATGATCAATTGTGGAAGGTCATTGTGAAAATGACATCTTGAGATTTTATTTACTCTAAAATCACATACCTTCTATGTTTTTAATTTCCATGGTAATATGTTAATTTTTTGTTTAGCACTAAAACTCATTTTGCATATTTAGCATTATATCTCGTGTATAGAAAAAATTACGTGATTCTTTTCATGCATTGAATAATTGAAATGAGATTTTTTCATCATGTGAATTATGATTCGACTAAGTTTTTTGAATTGCTCTAGGACATAAGATACCAAATACTAATTCTTGACAATATACATTTCACCATTTGAATGTGGAAAAATAAATTTTAGTATATTCATTATAAATTTTTGTGGGTAATTCTTTTTTTAGGATGTTCACGAAGCATATATGACATTTTCTTTTGAAGTGTAATTTAATATGTGTCTTTCAGTAAATAATGAAACAATTAGTATTCACCCGTTATTTGTTTTTATCATTGAAAATATGATAGTGAATTTTGAGGTAGACTGTCTCAAGCTTATCATAATATAAATATTCATTTGNAAATTTTAGTATATTCATTATAAATTTTTGTGGGTAATTCTTTTTTTAGGATGTTCATGAAGCATATATGACATTTTCTTTTGAAGTGTAATTTAATATTTATCTTTCAGTAAATAATGAAACAATAGTATTAACCCGTTATTTGTTTTTATCATTGAAAATATGATAGTGAATTTTGATGTAGACTGTCTCAAGCTTATCATAATATAAATATCCATTTANTGATAGTGAATTTTGATGTAGACTGTCTCAAGCTTATCATAATATAAATATTCATTTGTTTGTTATCCTTTTAGAAATGACGAATATTAAATTTGGAGTAAACTATTGAAATTTTAATTTTACATGTTAATATGTGGCTGAATTTGTTCATGACTTAAGTTTCACTAGATACTACAAAATTTGATATTAAAAATGATCTACATGCAATGCACTTGTATACAAAAAAAAAATGTAAATATAAATTTATATATCTATATCTATATTTATCTATCTATACTACTAATAAACTTACGTTAGAATAAAAAAATNTAGATACTACAAAATTTGATATTAAAAATGATCTACATGCAATGCACTTGTATACAAAAAAAAATATAAATATAAATTTATATATCTATATCTATATTTATCTATCTATACTACTAATAAACTTACGTTAGAATAAAAAAATTTTGATTTATTATTTTACCCTTATAAAAAATTTTAAATAATAGTTAAATAGTTAAAAACTGTTAACATTAAGTGAGGTTCAAGCCCGGAAGATACTTACACCTATTGCACAGTATAATAGTTGCTCATATTTTTTATATTAAAGTATATGTAAAATATTTGAGATACTCTANTGTTAACATTAAGTGAGGTTCAAGCCCGGAAGATACTTACACCTATTGCACAGTATAATAGTTGCTCATATTTTTTATATTAAAATATATGCAAAATATTTGAGATACTCTGAAGTTTCAAAAACTTATGGGGGATTGTAAGAATAAGTTAAGTTTTTAAAACTTTTCATCCACTTTAATTTTTAGTAATTACAGATTTTATTTTAAATGTTACACAACTTTAGTGGCAATACAAATGACCCATTTAATACATAACGGTAATATTTTTAAATGTCTTTTAAGTTGTCTTTTAATTTTTTTCTTTNTTACACAACTTTAGTGGCAATACAAATGACCCATTTAATACATAACGGTAATATTTTTAAATGTCTTTTAATTTTTTTCTTTGTATTTGTATTTTTTTATTTTTAAATATATATATATATATACATATTTTATCGTTATATTTTTATATAAAATTAATGTATACATAATATATGTATACATTAAAAGATATATAGACAAATAAAATATATCTCATCATAAATAATTAATTTTTCATTCACTTTTATTTCGATTTTAGAGGGATTGATTGTGATGAATTAGAAGAAAAGTTAATACATCCACTTTTCCATCTTTTTTATTTTCCTTCCTTACTAAACATGATATTTTGTTTATCCCTTAAATTTTGTATTCTTCTAATTTTGCATCATTTCATTTTTCTATCATACCAAACGNAATTAGAAGAAAAGTTAATACATCCACTTTTCCATCTTTTTTATTTTCCTTCCTTACCAAACATGATATTTTGTTTATCCCTTAAATTTTGTATTTTTATAACTTTCCATCCTTTCATTTTTCTATCATACCAAACANTATTTTCCTTCCTTACTAAACATGATATTTTGTTTATCCCTTAAATTTTGTATTCTTCTAATTTTGCATCATTTCATTTTTCTATCATACCAAACGGAGCATTAAACTTCCCAATTTTGAAGTAAACATTAACCCTAGAAAATTGAACTCAATAATCATAACCTAAGTCTAACTCATTCGCACATGTCCATAAATCAAAATTTTTGTTTAAGTTACTTATTCTTGCAAATTATTAAAAATATCCGGTAATCATAATTTAATTAATAAAAATAATTTATCAACCATTGAAATATTAATAATCATTTCTTAACATATTAAAATTTTGCGTTCATGGTATTAAAGCATTTTTAATAATTTCTTTATTCTCAAGCAATTATCTAATTTAGAGAATCAACCTCTAAAAATTAATTATAAATAGGCTCTCTATTTATAATTTAATGAGAAATCGGAACACAAGTGAAATGTTGTTTCACAAAAGAATACCAAACGCACCATTACAATACAAATACTGACCCCACCCTTTCTCGCCAATCATTGGACTCTTATAGAATCAATCGGAGACAGAAGATACCCAAAAAAAATAAAATATAATGTATGAATTTTTACAATTTTTTAGGACGAGAACACGAGAGATTTATCTTTATAAATATTTTAATTCTGACGTGGATGACCGATTGGATTTGAACAATTTAACATTCATGACTTCCTTGTCATTAATGGGTTCCAGCGTTTCATATGGACAAAAAGGTTGTATGCTTTCTCACGTTAAACAATTCACATAGCAACTGATCCAAGCCGTCTGCATCTTGTAACACTCAAAATCAATTGCAGGACTCTCAGCAAAGCAGAAACTAGATTATTAGGTGTGATCATAGCAACACTAATGCCCTGAATCCCATTAAAACTTGCAGTTAAATATGATTGGATGAGGGTAGTACTAGAATGAACGATCAATGTGACGTGGTTGGGTTGCACACTTTTTTAAAAGGAAAGAAAAAAAGAAACTAGATTATTGGCCTCTCATTGTCATACCTTTCCTCGATTAGTTTTAGAAGCTCCAGGCATCTGTAAGGTTCATCTTCCTTTCCTAAGAACTCAATATGTGGTGAGATTGCAGTTCTGTCCTCAATATCAGTGTGTCTTAAAAGTTCAGAAACCAGCCCTCTAGCTTCTTCAACCTTGCCTTCACTGAGAAGACCAAGAATTACAGAACAGTAAGATGCAAAAGATGGAACAGAACCTTTTTCGAGAATGAGCTTCATCCACTCGAGGCAATGATCATATTTCCCCTCCCTGGAGAAATGCTCAATGATAAAAGAACAAACCGCCTTGTCAGGAATTAGACCAATTCTCAACATATCCTGCATGAGATTATCTGCTTCTAAAATTCTTCCCACTTTGCATAAACCCATAACTACAAAACTGTAAAAATCAACAATAGGGGCACCACATTCCTCAATCTTATCTCGAAGTTTAATGGCATGGCTAATCTCCATTGCCCTGAAAACATAGTTGGAAAACCAAGCATCTTCATTCTTTCCCATAAGTAATGATTTGGCATCTAAATCACATGCAGAACTCAAAGCTCCTGCTCCATTAGCCTTTTCTGAGACAACAAATCCGGCAAGTAGTGCACAGTAGACATGATTGTTTAGTTGGAAATCATTTCCAACCATGGTTTTCAAATACTCAAAAGCACAATCCAACTGACCAGCTTTGATATGCGCCTTCAATAATACAGTATAAGTGATGTCATTTGGAGAGACACCTGAATTGGACATCTTATACAGAACATTCTCTGCTTCCTCCACTCTACCATTCTGGCAGAGGCCATTGATTGCAACAGTGTATGTATATACATTTGGGAGACAATTCGCCTGCTTCATAAGATCTAAAACGTTCAAGGAGTGGATAGTATCACCTGCTCGGCAAAGCCCATCAATCAATATGGTGTAAGTTACCACAGAAGGAATTAGGCCGTACTTTAGCATCATTCCAAACATTGTATTTTGTTCATTCACCTTATTTTCTTTGCTGAGAACATCAAGACATGAGTTGAATGCGTGAGGTGTAGTCAAACACCTGTTCTTGACCATTCTCTCAAAAAGCATAAAGGCATTTGCAGTTTTACCTGTCTTGCAATATCCATCAATAAGAGCTGTAAATGTTACTTCATCTGGGAATATTCCCTTCTTCACCATCAAACCCAAGATCCCATGTGCTTGCTCTGGTCTCCCTTCTTTACCGAGCCCATCAATTAATGTAGTGTAAGTAAAACCATCAGGTTCAAGACCAAGGGAGTTCATTGAATTAAATACTCTGAAAGCCATGTCGAGTTGGCCTGCCTTGCTAAACCCATCAACCAGAATATTGTAGGTTACTTCATCGGGGAATAACCCAGTGTCAACTATCCTTCTCAACAGTTCCATTGCTTTGTGAGGTTTATTGACTTTACATAACCCTTGTATAAGCTCATTGAAAGTACGGATATTGGGCTTGCAATTACTCCTTTCCATCACGCCAAGAAGCTCAAAAGCAGAAACTACTTTACCTTCTTTGCAGTAACCATTAATCAGTGCATTATACGTTACTGTGGCAGGAACCAATCCATCATCTAACATTTTTCTGAACATTCCATTAGCCTCCTCAATCCTACCTTCTCTACATAGCCTATCCATCAATACTGTATAAGTGTGAATATTTGGTTTACATCCCTTCTTGACCATCTCATCAAGCAAACCAAAAGCCTTATCAGTGGATCCTACATCACAAAGAGCTTTAATCAGTACAGTGTAGGTATGAGTACTTGGGTGGCAACCCTTTTCATTCATCTCTTCCTTTAGCCAAAACGCTTCATCAAGCCTACCATCTTCACATAGACCATGTATAAGCACTGAGTAAGTAACACTATTGGCACCACAACCATCCTCTTTAGACATTTTCTCAAACACTAGAAAGGCCTCATTGAGATCACCAACCCTGCAATTACCCAGCACCAAAGAGGTACAGATATGAGTATCCAACAAAAACCCAAGTTTCAAAACTCTTGAAAAGAACATTTCAGCAGCTTGTACAAACCCATTCTTGCATAAAGCATTTATTACAGTCTGGTAATCAATAACACCAAGAGCAAACCCATCATCTACCATTCTTCTATAAACCGAAAATGATGATAAACCCATATTCAACTTAGCTAGGCATGCCAATAGAACGCTATAACAAGGGTAATTAAGCCGAAAACCAATCTTGCGCAGATTGTCAAGTGCACCCATCAACTTCAAAACATGATGTTCATGCACACAACACTNAATAGAACGCTATAACAAGGGTAATTAAGCCGAAAACCAATCTTGCGCAGATTGTCAAGTGCACCCATCAACTTCAAAACATGATGTTCATGCATACAACACTCCTTAATTACTACAACAACGGCTTTATGTACAATCCCAAATAAATTATGAGATAACATTAGACTCAATAGATGAATTCTACTATCTAATTCATAGCAGTATGTCGATTGCTTGCATACCCATTTGAAAAATTNACATTTGGGAGACAATTCGCCTGCTTCATAAGATCTAAAACGTTCAAGGAGTGGATAGTATCACCTGCTCGGCAAAGCCCATCAATCAATATGGTGTAAGTTACCACAGAAGGAATTAGGCCGTACTTTAGCATCATTCCAAACATTGTATTTTGTTCATTCACCTTATTTTCTTTGCTGAGAACATCAAGACATGAGTTGAATGCGTGAGGTGTAGTCAAACACCTGTTCTTGACCATTCTCTCAAAAAGCATAAAGGCATTTGCAGTTTTACCTGTCTTGCAATATCCATCAATAAGAGCTGTAAATGTTACTTCATCTGGGAATATTCCCTTCTTCACCATCAAACCCAAGATCCCATGTGCTTGCTCTGGTCTCCCTTCTTTACCGAGCCCATCAATTAATGCAGTGTAAGTAAAACCATCAGGTTCAAGACCAAGGGAGTTCATTGAATTAAATACTCTGAAAGCCATGTCGAGTTGGCCTGCCTTGCTAAACCCATCAACCAGAATATTGTAGGTTACTTCATTGGGGAATAACCCAGTGTCAACTATCCTTCTCAACAGTTCCATTGCTTTGTGAGGTTTATTGACTTTACATAACCCTTGTATAAGCTCATTGAAAGTACGGATATTGGGCTTGCAATTACTCCTTTCCATCACGCCAAGAAGCTCAAAAGCAGAAACTACTTTACCTTCTTTGCAGTAACCATTAATCAGTGCATTATACGTTACTGTGGCAGGAACCAATCCATCATCTAACATTTTTCTGAACATTCCATTAGCCTCCTCAATCCTACCTTCTCTACATAGCCTATCCATCAATACTGTATAAGTGTGAATATTTGGTTTACATCCCTTCTTGACCATCTCATCAAGCAAACCAAAAGCCTTATCAGTGGATCCTACATCACAAAGAGCTTTAATCAGTACAGTGTAGGTATGAGTACTTGGGTGGCAACCCTTTTCATTCATCTCTTCCTTTAGCCAAAACGCTTCATCAAGCCTACCATCTTCACATAGACCATGTATAAGCACTGAGTAAGTAACACTATTGGCACCACAACCATCCTCTTTAGACATTTTCTCAAACACTAGAAAGGCCTCATTGAGATCACCAACCCTGCAATTACCCAGCACCAAAGAGGTACAGATATGAGTATCCAACAAAAACCCAAGTTTCAAAACTCTTGAAAAGAACATTTCAGCAGCTTGTACAAACCCATTCTTGCATAAAGCATTTATTACAGTCTGGTAATCAATAACACCAAGAGCAAACCCATCATCTACCATTCTTCTATAAACCGAAAATGATGATAAACCCATATTCAATTTAGCTAGGCATGCCAATAGAACGCTATAACAAGGGTAATTAAGCCGAAAACCAATCTTGCGCAGATTGTCAAGTGCACCCATCAACTTCAAAACATGATGTTCATGCACACAACACTCCTTAATTACTACAACAACGGCTTTATGTACAATCCCAAATAAATTATGAGATAACATTAGACTCAATAGATGAATTCTACTATCTAATTCATAGCAGTATGTCGATTGCTTGCATACCCATTTGAAAAATTGAACACCGAGTTCGATATTGCTGCTCTGAAGTGCTATGACCTTAAAAGCTGCTTGAGGGGTCATGTGAGAAACCAACGATTTAAGGTGCCTGTTTCGTTCCCAGTTGGGTTGTTCGATCAAAGTTGATGTACGGTGGACGGTTTCATCAACTACTGATTCTGGCCTTGTATGGCTGGTTGGGGACGGAATTGTCAGAGAGGAAAGCATGGAAATAGAGTGCAATACATTACGAGGTTTGAAAGGGAGGCCAGGAAATTTGTTTGAATGAATCAGCATCCATATATACTGGAGAGAGAGAGAGAGAGAGAGAGTAAAAGACCGTTAGACGCTAGCTGTTCCAAAGGTTTACAGGAACTAGGTAAAAGGGTTGATTATGCTCCAAAACTGTTGGCAACATCGCTTCTCCATTACAGCTATATTCATTTATTTGGATAAAAGAGTGATTGGCCTAATAATCACCGTTTTTAAAATTTGTGACTATCTGTCAGGTTTATAAAATTTGTCAGGTTTAATTGTGAGTTTTAATATTCAGTATAATTTATTTTTAATTAAATAATTACATTAAATTAAGTTTTCAAATTAGATGTAAATAACATTATTCTTCTTATATTTGTTTTTTCTTTGCTTGTCAAGATTGGTTTTTCCGGGCACATATTTTTCTTTTTTGAATTTTCTTGGTAGAGTTGGGATGAATTATCACCGGGTTGCTTTGTTTGAGGTCATGAATTATTATTTTTTTAAGAACCCAAAGTTCAAAAATATCTTGCGTTTAGTACGATAGAGCAGTAATAAGAAATTGATGAATATTGAATAACTCAGTCTGAGTTCCTTAGGATTTGACAAGGAAAAAAGAATTAACATAGAGAGTTTATATTGGTTTACTAGTTCGGAAGCTCGGCTAATTTAACCTCAAAAGAGTCTCTTACTCNAAATAACATTATTCTTCTTATATTTGTTTTTTCTTTGCTTGTCAAGATTGGTTTTTCAGGGCACATATTTTTCTTTTTTGAATTTTCTTGGTAGAGTTGGGATGAATTATCACCGGGTTGCACTGTTTGAGGTCATGAATTATTATTTTTTTAAGAACCCAAAGTTCAAAAATATCTTGCGTCTAGTACGGTAGAGCAGTAATAAAAAATTGATGAATATTGAATAACTCAGTCTGAGTTCCTTAGGATTTGACAAAGAAAAAAGAATTAACATAGAGAGTTTATATTGGTTTACTAGTTCGGAAGCTCGACTAATTTAACCTCAAAAGAGTCTCTTACTCATGAGACTTATATTAATAAGAAATCAAATTACATAATATTTGTTTAGGCTATAATGGCTTGTCTGTCTTTTGAGGGTAATACTTCTTATTTTATAGTTGATTTTGAGCTTCGCTTGATCTTCAGTGAGATCCTTACCTCCTCCTTATAACGGTTGCTACTATCATGCAACAGTTGTAGAGAGTGTTAGAACAATTGCAAACTTTTCTGCATGAATACAAGATGGTTATTATTTAGGTGGCACTCGAGTAAAAACCAACTGTTTTCTATACTATCTTTCTTGAGTNAACCTCAAAAGAGTCTCTTACTTATGAGACTTATATTAATAAGAAATCAAATTACATAATATTTGTTTAGGCTATAATGGCTTGTCTGTCTTTTGAGGGTAATACCTCTTATTTTATAGTTGATTTTGAGCTTCGCTTGATCTTCAGTGAGGTCCTTACCTCCTCCTTATAACGGTTGCTACTATCATGCAACAGTTGTAGGGAGTGTTAGAACAATTGCAAACTTTTATGCCTGAATACAAGATCGTTATTATTTAGGTGGCACTCGAGTAAAAACCAACTGTTTTCTATACTATCTTTCTTGAGACGCAACTGCCGGGATGAGAGGTCTAACCTCGAGCTGCATGGTCATTCAAGGTGGGCTGATCTCCCGATATAGGGACGCCTGACCTAAATTCCCGAGTTCAACCTTAGATATATTTAAGGTATCATCACTTTCTAAAGAAGAAAAACCATAATCTAAATTAAATAACAAATCCTGCAGATAAGAAACCAAAATAGAGATTCCTGATACAATTACTAATAAAGATAGCCACAACCAAATTTACCATATCAACACAGTTGTTCATACAACAGTACTAGATCAACTACAATACAATGCCCGCAGACTATACTTGTAAAGGCTTGTGCATAAAAAATTAACTTCCTACAAAGCAGTACATCCGTAATCTGAGAGAGAGAGAGAGAGAGAGAGAGCCTTTGCCTTATACCATAATACGAAGTTGTTATTCATAGTCTCTGCCCTACAGACATGATGGTATTAATTCTGTATAGGGAGAGGTTATAATCTTTAAGGCTCGACGATAATTTTTCCAGTAGCATGACCATCAATGCTCTTAGCCCACGCATCTTCAGCCTTGCTAAGTGGATATTTTGAGTCAACCAAGGTTTTCAGCTTCCCTTCACTGACTAACTTAACAAGATAATCCAGGTTACTCTTTTTGGGACTTACAATCAGTGGCACCAGCTGCTGCTTAGAGAATGTGAGTTTATTTAGAGCCACGGTCCACATGGTACTGAGGCCAGGAGTGAGATCTATTACTTTCCCATTTGCACTCAAATTAGGCTTAAAGGTGGACCAAGGGATGCCTGTGGCGCAGTGAATTACTGCATCATATTTCTGGTCTGATGGGCTCTTCAGAGCTGCTCCGTCTGGCGTCTTGTAATCGAGAACCTCGTCAGCCCCTAAGCTCTTCACCAAATCAATATTGCGTGCTCCACAAGTGGCCGTCACGTGTGTGTTACCCAGTTTTGCCAGTTGAACTGCATAGTGACCCACCCCACCCGAAGCAGCTGTAATGAGGATATTCTTTTGTGAGCCACTACCATCGAGCTTGACCCCAGCAACTTGGGTAAGGGCCTGGTGAGCCGTAAGAGCCGCAATAGGCAGGCCCGCACCTTCAGCAGCTGATACTTCAGGTGGCCTTGGAACTGTCAAGCTCTCCTTGGTGACAGCATACTCGGCCAGTCNGAGAGAGAGAGAGAGAGAGCCTTTGCCTTATACCATAATACGAAGTTGTTATTCATAGTCTCTGCCCTACAGACATGATGGTATTAATTCTGTATAGGGAGAGGTTATAATCTTTAAGGCTCGACGATAATTTTTCCAGTAGCATGACCATCAATGCTCTTAGCCCACGCATCTTCAGCCTTGCTAAGTGGATATTTTGAGTCAACCAAGGTTTTCAGCTTCCCTTCACTGACTAACTTAACAAGATAATCCAGGTTACTCTTTTTGGGACTTACAATCAGTGGCACCAGCTGCTGCTTAGAGAATGTGAGTTTATTTAGAGCCACGGTCCACATGGTACTGAGGCCAGGAGTGAGATCTATTACTTTCCCATTTGCACTCAAATTAGGCTTAAAGGTGGACCAAGGGATGCCTGTGGCGCAGTGAATTACTGCATCATATTTCTGGTCTGATGGGCTCTTCAGAGCTGCTCCGTCTGGCGTCTTGTAATCGAGAACCTCGTCAGCCCCTAAGCTCTTCACCAAATCAATATTGCGTGCTCCACAAGTGGCCGTCACGTGTGTGTTACCCAGTTTTGCCAGTTGAACTGCATAGTGACCCACCCCACCCGAAGCAGCTGTAATGAGGATATTCTTTTGTGAGCCACTACCATCGAGCTTGACCCCAGCAACTTGGGTAAGGGCCTGGTGAGCCGTAAGAGCCGCAATAGGCAGGCCCGCACCTTCAGCAGCTGATACTTCAGGTGGCCTTGGAACTGTCAAGCTCTCCTTGGTGACAGCATACTCGGCCAGTCCACCACCAAGCTATCATCCAATCCCATATATAAAGATCAATGAACAACAACAAATTAGTAAAGACAAGCAGGCATCCAAAATATATGATGCACGAGATCATGAAGCAACTAGCTATCAAGGTTCAGGATTTATCATCTACCTTGATACTAATCACGATGTGTCAGTGTTACCAAACTAGGCTGCATACAGTGAAACTGATGAAACCCACTATTAAAATGTGATCTCTATATAAACCAAGTTGTGATCATCCACCCACCTCTTCTAAGGTAAGTTAGTGTTCACAGCTTCACCAGTAATAACTCGAGAAACCCATAGTATGCAGAAAGATGCATAGAACACCCAAAAAAAAGAAACTTACGGCAAAAGTAACCGCCACAACTTTGTCACCAGGTTTGAAACTTCTCACTCCATTTCCAACCTCCACTACCTCTCCTGCAAAATCAGAAGCTGTTCCAACAAAGAAAATGTCGAGTCTAAGACTAGCAAGTAGCATGCTATGCTTGTTTAGAGTTTGCAGTATGAATAGCTTATGACCTAATTAACAATACAAAATAACAGCATCGTACCGGATTTGTTGACTGCACCAAAATTACAGAAGAATAGGCAAATGTAAAAATGCAGTAATGAAAGTTAATAAACTGCTGAAACAACTATCAACAAAGTCTACATGAAAAAAAGGGTTCAAATCATTCTCAAATCCCAGCTTAAAAACAACACCAAAAATTTAACATATTCCTTTTTTTNGTAATGAAAGTTAATAAACTGCTGAAACAACTATCAACAAAGTCTACATGAAAAAAAAGGTTCAAATCATTCTCAAATCCCAGCTTAAAAACAACACCAAAAATTTAACATATTCCTTTTTTTGCCATTAACTTTATTGTTTCCCCCATTCAAAATTCATTCTGAAGCTCTCCACAAGAAATTCACCTCTTGTTTTTACAATCTTCTCTTGGGTAATCCGCGACACTATAATCTGTGAACTCCCAAAACATAATACAGGCTCCAAGTTCACCTCAACTATTTCACGCCAACTTTGGAGTCTAACTTTTCTTCTTTTATTTTTCTTTTTGTAAGTGGAGGTGGGAGCAACAAACCGGAGTCATCTAAAACCAATGATTTTTCTCCCCGATGAGCACTTTCCTTTTTTTTTTTGGAGGGAGGGGGAGTGGGGATCACTTTCCTTTTTCAAATTTTCCATATTCCATGATTAAATTTTCATTTCGCTTCCATCAAAGCTAACAAAAAAAATCAGTGAATATAAAAATGTTTATGTTCTGGAGTGTTTTGAAATGTTTCGCGATGTTTCGGAATGTCTCGATATATTTGAAAATGTTTGGAATCAAATTTTTTAATTTGGTCTTTGTTTCCATTCTGTTTCCGGAACATTTTGGAAACATCTCCAAATTGTTTCCATTCCGAGCTATTCCAAAACCATGCTCGAAAACAACCTTTTTAATCATTGTCCATAATTCAAGCTACAATCAATTCTGACCCCCCCCAAAAAAAAGAAGCTACAATCAATGAATTCAAAAGCATTTCTTCCACCTCCTTTAAAGATTGGCAAAATCAGTATGACTCCAACAATTGAGAAGAGAATACAAATTCCAAATTACAACAGACATGTCGTGGCCAAGTCACCAATTCTAGGATGTAAGCATAGCTGATTTGGATGTTGAAGGCCAGCAAAACTGTTAAAATGAAAACTTGTCACACAACTAACACCTGTAAAAATTTACTTTGGAGATGTCACCAAATTGACTAGTTGAAGCCACATAACAGTTGGTTCTCAACCAGAGATTGCCCAAGTTCTAAAATTTTTGAAGTTAAAAGAGTCATATTATATTACAAATAATGGGCACTTTCAAGTTTCGGACAAATGGTAAAGCATTACAGAGAATGTCCAACAGAACAATTTAAGACATTCTCAAGAAAAGATATCCCCCTGATGGACCACATTGATTTAAAAAAAAATTGCACAGGAATCCTTAAAAGGTTAACTTAATTCAAATCAGATAGCTAGTAGCTAGTGATCAAAACAGTCAAAATCAAGTAATATTATAACAATTTGTAAGGACTATAATTACACAGTTCTTTTTATTCCAAGAACAACGACGCAATGCAGGATGCCACATTTACTGTTGATGTAGTACATAGTTCATAACATCAGATAGACAAACACAAATATCTATCTGGAAAAATATCATAACTTGAGTAACAAAAAGGGTAGAGAAAATATGGATTAAAGAATACAAATGGCTCTAAACTCACCAGGTATGAAAGGAAGTTTGCGAGGTGAAACAAGACGCAACCAGCCTTTCTGTATCTTCCAATCAACTGGATTTAAGCTCGTTGCTTCCAGTTTAAGCAAAACCTCATCATTATTAGGAGCAGGAACAGGAACTTCAACATGCTGCAAGAGGCATGAAATGCAACTCACAACTTAGTTATTTTAAGGCAGCGTCATACACGCTACATTTAATTCATGTCTGCTTTCCTACTTGGGTCAACATATATCTGACCATAAATCAAAAGAATTCTTGGAAATAAGCTTAATCCACAAACTTAACGAAAATTTGTAAGATCCCCATATTTACAACAGTTTATGCTTACATAGTTACATATCAACAATTCGAGATTTCTATCCATCATTATCACCAAAAGAAACCGCAGAAAAATATTTGCATAATTGTCAAACGAAAAGGGCATAGAAGACGAGCTAAGAATTATCCTGAAAAGATCAAATGGGAGACTGGCGCGACATGGGCAACTCTTCTTCGAGGGGGTCTTGTATTCAGAAATTTTAAAGAAACATGAAAAATTACCCGTAAATTTTAATTTTATCTTCACTCTTCAGAAAATCCTATTCCTGAAGTGCCCATAAAATTTTTCTTTTGACCTTCCATAATATATCATTACCTGAAAGAATCATGAAGTACTACAACTACTAAATAAGTTTTCACATAAAAAAAAAACACTATTACAAAGTCGACTAACGATTGGAATCATAATCTATTTCCTTTCTTTGTCCTCTATCAAGACGAGATTGATTTTTTTCAGACAAAAAAATATCGGTATACAATTTAAGTAAGAAATAAGTAAATAAAGTTATTGCTATGATTCTGAACGAAAATAAAAATGATCATTACACATTGAGTGAAAAACCGATTTTCCATGAGAATGGGCAAAATTGAACTTAAAAGTATATGATGATTTTTTCAAGAGAGTAGTTGTTGAAAATTTTAACAAGAAAGAATAGAATCAGGGAGCCATTTGAAATTACCTTCAAACCAGCAACTCCTCCTCCATAAGATTCATACCAAACCGCTTGCATAAGCTTAGCAGCCATACTTGTTCACAACTACTGTTGTTACGTTCTGAGTTCTGAGTATATTCACACAGAGAGATGTTTATAGAGGAAACTGAGAAGGTGAAGGCGGCAAGGCAACCGCAACGAAAAATGGGACCTAAATTACTGCGTCTGTAAGGTTTTCTTGCGATGATTTTGCATGTGACATGCGAAGGTCGTCACCGTCATTCATCGTTTCCGTCGTGAATGGACAGAATAGGCCTATAGATAATAAACGAGTCGTGCAGATTGAGATGAACTCTAAAAGCCCAAACGATGCTTTCGTCATTACAAAAAATTAATCAAAATATACATAAATTAATTTAAAAACACCTTAAATGAAATAAAAAAAGAAAAAGTCCGATGCTTTCGTGGGTGATTCACATCCGGAATTGAAGATTCTAGAAGCTGATACTAGTCTAGGCTTTAATTCTTTTGCTATCCTGAAAAAAAACAAAAGAGGGGCCAAAGGGCAATTCGTTTCATTCTCAAAATATAATTCTATTCTTTGTTTTTTTTGATTGGCTCTACACTAAGAAAAAATTTCAAAAGAGACATAATTTTTATTGTAACTTGGTCATCATCAATAGAGACACAAAAAATTAATTTTTCAGAAGTATTTTTATTTATTTTTGGAGAAACCCGAATTTTTTAATAAAATAAAGGGTTAATTGTAAATTGCATCATGAAAGATTATTCGAATCTCAATTTACACCTTAAAAAATATAAATTTGTATCAATGTGCACCCCCAAAGATCAAAATCTCAATTTATACCCTCAAAGATAGAAATTTGTATTAATATGTACCTAAAAATTGATAAATTATACCTAAATCCCTTCATGCTTGTCACTTAATTATTTGAATCTTTTCACATTTAGAATATTATTCCTACATCTCTTAACGTTTGTGCACGTGTAACACGTAATCCCTTTTCGTTGATATCTGTTAATATAATCGTTAAAAAATATAATTTTATCCTAGTAAAAAATTAAAATTTCATATTACCTTTTATTTTGTAGGTTCGATATTCTCTTAAGTTTAAAATCAAACTTACTATTTAAATGTCCAATATAATGTAGGTATTTATATAATATTTTTTATATCCAATGCAATATATTACTTAAACATAATTATTTGAATGCCCAAATTGGAGGGACAATTTAAATTGAGAATATTTTTGTAAGGATTTTATAATCGTTAAAAAATATGATTTTATCTTAATAAAAAATTAAAAATTTATATTACCCTTTATTTTGTGAAGGGCTCCAAATGATTAAATGACAAACATAAGGAGATTTATGTATAATTTATCAATTTAGTTTTAGGTGTATATTTATATAAATTTCTATCTTGGAGGGTACAAATTAAGATTTTTTATCTTTGAAAGTCAGTATTCATATAAATTTCTATCTTTGAGAGTATAAATTGAGATTTTTAATATTTGGGAGTATAAATTAAGATTCGAATAATTTTTTGGGATATAATTTATAATTAATGCTAAAATAAATACCAAAGATGACAGTTAATAATAAATGTTAAAAACAGTGAGGTGGTGACGTAAGGACCACGAACTTCGTCCTAATAATATATCTGTACTTGTCCACAAAGACTTTAGTAGGAGGGCTCTATGCCTAATTTTCAACAAGGAGATTGAAGACTTCCAACGAATTAGTCTCCAGCATGCATTTGAATTTTAGAAGTTTTCAAATCTTGCATTTTTAAATCTGGTTGAATGATCAACACGATTCTATAATTCAAATGCGCCTAAAAATGCCAAAAAAAAAATACGAGTTTATAAAATCAAAAGGTTTGGTAATTGAACAAAAAATATATGTAAACACTTCTTTCTCAAAATAAATTCTTTTTAATTTACTGAAAAAAACGATATGATCAAACTGTCCTACAAGAACTAAAATTTGTCCCATATCTCGAATACAGTCATGAGGCTCCCATTGACCAAACTTACCAAAATGTCCATAACCAAACTTACAATATCAACACAAAAAAACAAAAAAACAAAAAAACAACAAAAAAACTTACCATATCAACACAATTGTTCATCAACACTGCTATACAAGGCCAGCCAATTATTCCTGTAAAAGGCTTCTGCCATTCAAATGAACTTGCTGCAAAGCAGTACCTCTTTAATCCACACAGTTCACACAGAACCACCATTGAAAATACATGCAAAAAAAATTAACATGATTATAAGTTAATGACACGACATTAATCGTGTATCGGGAGAAGTTGTACTCATCAAGGTGTTGGGATATAACAACAATTTAAATTCATTAACAAACACACACAATCGAAGAACAAATCAAGAATATAAAACAATAAGAAACAAGAAAGAACAAGACAGATTTTACGTGGTTCGGCAATTTGCCAACGTCCACGAATCTGCAAAAATTTCACTATTGAGAGAGTTGAATACAGAGAGCGGTTGTACAATCCACCATATTAATCCTAATCACCAAAATAACTGGTTTTATATGTCCTACGCACTGGGCTATATAATGGGCCCAAAAATTTTCCTCAGGCTTGTCCATGAGCGCTACTACGGCTTGAGCCTATCGGCCCAACCCTTCGCTCTATGGACTAAGCCTTAGAAAAATTTTCATTAAAAAACCACACAACATTACTTCGGGGTTGAATTATCGTCCAGATCACATATACAAACTAGACTCCCCAAAAAACCAACACAAGGCTCGACGATAATTTTCCCAGTAGCATGACCATCAATGCTCTTAGCCCAAGCATCTTCGGCCTTGCTCAGGGGATGTTTTGAGTCAACCAGCGTCTTTAGCTTCCCTTCACTGACCAACTTAACAAGATGCTTCAGGTTTCTACCTTTGGGAATTAGAAGATGTGGCACCAGCTGCTTCCTAGAGAAGGTGAGTTTCTTTAGAGCAAAAGTCCACATGGCACTGACGCCAGGAATCATATCTATTACTTTCCCATTTGCACTCAGATTAGGCTCGAAAGTAGACAAAGGGATGCCCGTGGCACACTGAATTACTGCATCATGTGAGGCTGCACAAAACGATTTTATACAAGATTAACAGTCGAATGTGTGATAAAGTATAATTAATANACAGAGATAGGCCAAACTTTTAGCGACTCTCGTGAGAGCCGTTAAGCTGGAGATATAGACTGCCTGCTTGAAAGGAGAGCAAAAAAAAATCAAGCTTTTTGGTGACTCTTGTGAGAGCCGCTAAGCTGGAGATATAGGTTGCATGTGTGAGAGCAAAGACAGAAATAGGCCAAGCTTTTGACGACTCTCGTGAGAATTGCTAAGCTGGAGATATAAGTTGTCNAAAAGTACTAAATTTTTGGAGAGCTACAAAAGGTAAGTACAATTAAAAGTTACCTTGATCTTCGAGAGTGAATATCCCGATAATTGCTTTCCACCTGCTATAATCCTTTTGGACTCCTTGAATTCTAGACTAGGCCGAATCCATGAATTGGGCTTGACTCGCCGTGTAGCTGATTTGAGCCTGACTCATTAATTGGGCCTAACCCAGTTAAATCTGGGCTCATCATTTGTCCCCCATGCCCTAGTAGTGATTGACAGTTGATGGCATGAGTGAGCTCCTTCTTTTAGATAAAACAAATATCTTTCTCATATGGTGACTTTTTCAGCTTTCTATCCATGACATTTTTGAAGCTTATTTCTCTATTTGGTAATATCATTGTTGGAGAGGGTGAAGAGAAGAATAGACATTTCGACGCATGGAGATGGAGATGTTTTGGCGAGTGATGCCATGGGTATGAACTTGAGCAAGACCAGGGAAGACATAAAATTGGGTGATGCCACGGGCGACACTATGGAGGACCCAGACAAATTGATGATGTCTTTAGTTTATCAAAATTCTCTCTTTAACAGGTGATCCCGTGGTTGATGGATTAACAACGAAGGCTCTCTACGTCACTAGGATGGTGATTTCCCCTCCTCCTAAAAGAGGTGAGATATGATGCCCCTAGTGCTTTCTAGTTGAGGTCTGATGGTCATACTATTTCTCAGAAGATGGGGTTTGGTGTCTCTAGCGCTTCACATAATTATCCTTCTTATAGTAATGGCCTAGTGTCCCTGCTGCAAGATATGAATTTTGGCTAAGAAAAGGCTTTGGAGGTTTGTGACACTCTTAGATGTAAGGTTTCGTGGTCTTGAGGGTATCATTGATACCGAGATAATGGACTTTGCTATGGTACCCCACTGTTATGTGGAACCCTCTCTTCTGTATGCTTGGTCATATTGACATTTTGGCTTCAAAAATTTGCAGATGGTTGCAGCTTTTCCGTACTTTTGAGGACGCTCAAACTCAACGAGGTGTCAAGAACTTTGGTGGAAGAGAGACCTGGGCACCAGGTTACAATTGAGGTTGGCTTATAAAAGAGCAACAACTCTCGAGGCCAAGCTTCTAGTGCGTATAAGCATAGGCTAAGTTAGGTCGAGTTTGTGGCGACTCTCGTGAGAGTTGCTAAGCTGGAGACATAGGTACCTGCTTGAGAGCAGAGTAAAGACAGACCAAGCTTTTGGTGATTTGTGAGATAGCCGCTAAGCTAGATATAGACTGCTTGCTTAAGAGCAGACCAGAGAAGAACAGAGATAGGCCAAACTTTTAGCGACTCTCGTGAGAGCCGTTAAGCTGGAGATATAGACTGCCTGCTTGAAAGGAGAGCAAAAAAAAATCAAGCTTTTTGGTGACTCTTGTGAGAGCCGCTAAGCTGGAGATATAGGTTGCATGTGTGAGAGCAAAGACAGAAATAGGCCAAGCTTTTGACGACTCTCGTGAGAATTGCTAAGCTGGAGATATAAGTTGTTTACTTTAGAGCAGAGTAGAGACAGACCAAGCTTTTGGTGACTCTAGTGAAAGTCGCTAAGCTAGTGGTTGCCTGTCTGTGTGAGAGCAGAGGCAGAGATAGGTCAAGCTTTTGGCGACTCTCGTGAAAGTCGCTAAGCTGGAGATATAGGTTGTTTACTTGAGCATAGAGTGGAGATATGTCAAACTTTTGGCAACTCTCGAGAGAGCCTATAAGCTGGAGATATAGGCTGTCTACGTGAGAGCAGAGATAGGCCAAGCTTTTTGGTGACTCTCGTGAGAGCCGGTAAGCTGGAGATATAGGCTGTTTGTGCGAGAGTAAAGATAGAAATATGCCAAACTTTCTGGCGACTCTTGTGAGAGCCGTTAAGTTAGAGATTGAGACACGGGTGCTGCTAGGCGACGTCGCTGGGCACGGACGCCGAGGGGTGCTAGGCACCGTAGGCATAGACGCCAAGGGGTGCTAGGCGCCGTTGGGCACAGATGCTAAGAGGTGCTAGTCTCCGTTGGGCACAGATACCGAGGGGCACTGAGCATGAACACCCAAGGAGCGCTAGCCTTCACTGGGCACGGATGTCGAAGGGCGCTGGACGTCTCTAGGTAAGGATGTCGAGGAGCGCTAGGTACAGGTGCAGTGGCGCTAAAGATGTGGGTGACAGGAGGAGACATCGTGGGCCAACTGGGCGACACTACGACTAGAGGCAGAGGGCGATGCCACTAGTAATGGCTAGGCGACGCCACTAGGCAGTGGCCATAAGTGATGCAGGTTGGGGCACTGGGCACTAGCTGGTGTGCATGTTGAGGATAGCGGATGACGCCTTGGAGTTGAGCAGTCTGGGCAACGTTTGCAACAGGTGGTTTGGGCGACGCCATTGGGCAGGTAATGGCCCTGGGTGATGCCTTGTAAGCTATCTGGGCAACGCCTTTGCATAGGCAGGTGTGTTGATGCTGTCTAGTGTTGGGGCGTTGATTGGTACAGTCGCCCAGGCACTAGGTACAGACACCGAAGGGAACCCTTCCTTTACCTGGTTGACTATCAGCTGTAAGTTATTATAGGCTGTCAGACAGAGGGTCTCCATCTCCAATGCTAGCTTCTAGCTTGATTTAGGGGCCTCATATTCAGCTTGGTCGTTGGATGTTGCAAAGTGGAGGAAGACAGTGTACTTGAGTGGAGTGTCATGGGGGTTATCAACACTAGTCTTGAGCCGCCATCCTCGTTGGTGANAAAGAGAGATAGAGTGAGAACACAAATTAAACACCCATTGTAAACAAAGCCAAATTTAATCGTATAGTATAGTACTTAAAAGTCNACAGTGTACTTGAGTGGAGTGTCATGGGGGTTATCAACACTAGTCTTGAGCCGCCATCCTCGTTGGTGAAGAACCCATCCATGTATAGTCTTCAACATGGTACAGTAGATGGTAACGAGGGCACGGAGGGTTCCAGTGGAGTAGGCACAAAGGAGTTAGGCGCCTCTAGTTTCAGATTGTGGTCTCCCGAGGCCTATGGAGTTGTCTCCGAGACGTCGGGCTTTCTCGGGATAGTGTATGGGCTTGCCTCATGGTGGGTGGAGGCAATATACGCTGAGCAAGCGAGTGCAAGAGCGCGTGATACTTTCTCTTGGGACTCCCCTGCTGGTGTAGACTCCTGGGACTCCAATAGCGGTGTAGACTCCTAGGACCCCCGTAGTGATGTAGACTCCCGTGGCGATATAGGCTTCTAGGATTCCCGTAGCGGTGTAGACTCCCGTGGTGGTGTAGACTCCGGGAACTCCCGTGGCAATGTAGACTCTCGGGAATCTCGTGGCGGTGTAGACTCCTAGGCGAGGGGCGCCCTGCTGTTGCCCGGGGGTGTTCTTACGCTGGCCCTATGGTGGGGGGCATCTTGGCACCTAGAGTGGAGAGGTTGCGGTGCTTCTCTCATCGGAGGCTGTTAATTCAAGTAGCATGCTATGCTTGTTTAGAGTTTGCAGTATGAATAGCTTATGACCTAATTAACAATACAAAATAACAGCATCGTACCGGATTTGGTGACTGCACCAAAATTATAAACCAAGTTGTGATCATCCACCCACCTCTTCTAAGGTAAGTTAGTGTTCACAGCTTCACCAGTAATAACTCGAGAAACCCATAGTATGCAGAAAGATGCATAGAACACCCAAAAAAAAGAAACTTACGGCAAAAGTAACCGCCACAACTTTGTCACCAGGTTTGAAACTTCTCACTCCATTTCCAACCTCCACTACCTCTCCTGCAAAATCAGAAGCTGTTCCAACAAAGAAAATGTCGAGTCTAAGACTAGCAAGTAGCATGCTATGCTTGTTTAGAGTTTGCAGTATGAATAGCTTATGACCTAATTAACAATACAAAATAACAGCATCGTACCGGATTTGGTGACTGCACCAAAATTATAAACCAAGTTGTGATCATCCACCCACCTCTTCTAAGGTAAGTTAGTGTTCACAGCTTCACCAGTAATAACTCGAGAAACCCATAGTATGCAGAAAGATGCATAGAACACCCAAAAAAAAGAAACTTACGGCAAAAGTAACCGCCACAACTTTGTCACCAGGTTTGAAACTTCTCACTCCATTTCCAACCTCCACTACCTCTCCTGCAAAATCAGAAGCTGTTCCAACAAAGAAAATGTCGAGTCTAAGACTAGCAAGTAGCATGCTATGCTTGTTTAGAGTTTGCAGTATGAATAGCTTATGACCTAATTAACAATACAAAATAACAGCATCGTACCGGATTTG